TAACATCCTAATAAAATATTACTTCAAAGAGAAATCCATAAAACCAGGGAAAATATGAATATGATCAAGAAGAAAAAAAACTATATAAAAAAATCTTTATATTCCCATTTACTACCCAAAACAGTCTCACAGCGACTTACAATCTCCTCTCCTTTCCCCTCCCCACGACAGACACCCTGTGCAGTGCTCCCTCTAAGCTGAGTGGGTGTGAGTTAGCCCACAGTTTTTCAGCCTCCGGCTCACACATTTTTGTCTTAGCTCAGGAAGGAGGGCTCCAGAACAAACTGATTTATGCAGGAGCCAAATTGCTCGCTCACAGCTTTAATGCCAGTAGCTCACAAAGTTGATTTTTTGCTCACAAGACTCCAACAGCTTAGAGGGAGCATTGCCTGTGAGGCAGATGGGGCTGAGACAGCTCTTTCGAGAACTGCACGCGAGAGAACAGCTCTGAAAGAACTTGTAGCTGACCCAAGGTCACACCAGCCGCTGCACACAGAGGAGTGGGGAATCAAACCCAGTTCTCCCAGATCAGAGTCCGCGCTCCTAACCAATACATCAAACTGGCTCCCATGCCACATTTCTGCTAACGAGACATCTGCCCGGAGAACAGTGTTCCCCCTAAGCTGAGTTAGTGTGAGCCAGCTCACAGTTTTTTAGCCTCCGGCTCACACATTTTTGTCTTGGCTCAGGAAGGACGGCTCCAGAGCAAACTAATCGCTCGGCCAGAACTGTAATGCCAGCAGCTCACAAACTGGAATTTTTGTTCGCAAGACTCCACAGCTTCAAGGGAGCATTGCCGGAGAGCCCCCTTTCATTTGCCAGATCGCCAATCATCTCGACAGACCTGACAGCAACCTCACGACAGGGTCACTCTCGTTCCCGTTCTGGGGTCCGTCTGGACCACCCGATTGCCGATAAAAAGCTCAGGACACATTCCGGTTAAAGTTTAACGTTTTAAGGAGCACTGACTCCAGTGGGGAAGAGACAATTGTCCAGGTGTGTCCGAACTGCCCTCGGTGGGTCTCCCCAGATACTAGCCCAGGCGTCCCCAACCTTTCTGTGTCTGTGGGCACCTTTGGGACTGTGGCACAGCCTGACGGGCACAGCCACAGGATGGCCGCCACAAAGCGGCTGCTGCAGGAGGTGAGGCTTCCGTTTTCCGAGCACGACCTGCGAGACCATCTGCTTGCTGCCGCTGCCCCATTCACGGCTGCGCCTCTGATGTGCGGATGTTAATGCCATGGGTGTTGTTTTTCCAGCCAATTGTATTTCGTCCTTGCCTGGACCCCCCATGGCTCAAGCTATCCTGATCTCGTCAGATCTCGGAAGCGAAGCAGGGCCGGTCCTGGTTAGTACTTGGAGGGGAGACCACCAAGGAAGTCCAGGGTTGCTATGCAGAGGCAGGCAGTGGCCAACCACCTCTGATTATCTTTCCCCTGACCTGCATGGTCCAAGCTAGCCCAGCCTAGTCAGATCTCAGAAGTTAAGCAGGATCGGCCCCGGTTAGTACTTGGAGGGGAGACCACCGAGGAAGCCCAGGGTTGCTACGCAGAGGCAGGTAGTGGCCACTGGCCAACCACCTCTGTTTGTCTTTCCCCTGACCTGCATGGTCCAAGCTAGCCCAGCCTAGTCAGAACTTGGGAGCTATGCAGGATCGGCTCCGGTTAGTACTTGGAGGAGAGGCCACCGAGGAAGTCCAGGGTTGCTGCGCAGAGGCAGGCAATGGCGAACCACCTCTGTTCGTCTCTTCCCTGACATGCGTGGTCCAAGCTAGCCCAGCCTAGTCAGAACTTGGGAGCTATGCAGGATCGGCCCGGGTTAGTACTTGGAGGGGAGACCACCGAGGAAGCCCAGGGTTGCTGTGCAGAGGCAGGCAAGGGCAAACCCACTTCTGTTCGTCTCTTGCCTTGACCTGGATGGCCCAGGCTAGCAGGGTCGACCCTGGTTTGTGCTTTAGGAGATCCCCAAGGAAGCCCAGGGTTGCCGTGCAGAGGCAGGCAGTGGCCGACCACTCTTGAAAACTCTACGGGGTCGCTTGTAATGTCAAAAGCACAGTCCTATTTCTTTTGCAAAATGAAAAATGTGTGGCAGACAGCAAAAAGGAACTTCAAATGTTTTTCAAACAAAATATCCAACCAGACATTTCTATTTGTGTAGCGTGGGATGCATGTGAGGCATACGCAAGAGGCTGGATAATTAAAGAAGATGCGTGTATTAGAAAGCAAAGGAAACAGAAGTATACAAAGCTTCAAGATCAACTGAACAAAGAAGGAGATGAGATGAAACAAGGCTCTGTAACTGAAGAAACAAGATCAAATATAAGGTTCTTACAACGTCGAATGAATTATCATCACAAGGAACAGCCCAAAAAAAAAATTACTTATGCAAAACAAAACTATTTTGAAAATGCAAACCAAACAAAAAGATGGCTGGCCTACAAATTACGGAAAGAAAGGGGGGAAAGACACATAAAGATACTGGAAGAGGCTGATGGAGAAAGAAAGAGGCCAAGAGATTTGAAAAAAATTATTGAAACGTTTAATGAAAAGTCATACCAGAAACAAGAAGTGGCACAGGAGGAAGTTAGATTTTTTTTTAAAGGGAAAGAAAAGAAAACTCTACGGGGTCGCCAGAAGTCGTCTGCAACTTGACAGCACTTTTCACCATCAGATGAACATTTCCCCACTGAGTTCCTTCACAGCCTTGGGTCTTTGCCACACAGATCCAGAGACTCACTATCTTTCCATTTGCCTTGCCGTCCTGGAATGCCATCCCTTGACACCTCCATTAGCCACAGCTCTCCAGGCACCCTTCCCAAACATGGCAGCTCTGGCAGGGGTACTAAGCCACCCAGGGGTCATTTCGTAGAAAAAGAGGCGCAGGAGCTCATTAGCACAGCTCATTGGCATAACTTATTTGCATATGCCACACCCTCTGACATCACCGGAAGTGTATCAGAAGGCAACACCCACCGCTCAGGCTCCACTGGACTGTTTTGGATTCCTAGCTATTGGGGG